ATTGCAAAATTTATCTAATTCATGATTATGGGGTGCTTAATAAGTATCCAGAAATTTTGCAAACTCGTATAATTGTACCAGTTCCGAAAATCGAATTTAAACAAAAATCCGAAAATTAATACCGTTCCAAAATTAGGCCAAAACCACTCGACTTCTCCATCACTACAACGAAAAAATGGTCACTCGGGCCGAGTGACTCGGCCAAGCAATTGAGCTGTAGCCACTTCCAAAATTAGCAATTTGTCATATACTATGTTTATATACTAAATTTAACATAAACTACATATCTCAGTCATTTCTTAACCGATTTTGATGAAATTTTGCACCGATTATTGTTACGGAATTTAGAATCGATCTGCAATCCGACTAAGCGATTACTTGATTTTTACCGGAATTATGAGCAAAAATGTGGCCTTAGAAACACATTTGTAATTATTAGAAATTATCAGCAAACCTTATCAAGAGTTTGAACCCCACAAATTGTAGAACAGTTTATCCCGCAAATTTTGAGTATAAATTTATCAAAATCCGTTAAGAATTCACCAAGTTATTCCAGTTTGAAGACCATAAAATTCATAGACGTGCTACGAATCATCGTCATTGACAAGGACACATGACTAATAAATATAACACAAAATAAATATTCAAAATTTTAAACAGAACAACTAATCTTTGCTTCTGTAAGTAATACTCTTAGTAAAAATGCATGAAATTGTTATTGTTTGTGTTGCACCTCCAGTCAGTTTGGTATTTAGTAATTTATACCAGATATTTTACGAACAAAATAACGTGCATCGGTTATAATTCAATTTTGAAACCCAAGCGCTTAATCAAATTATTCAGGATGCAAATATTGAATATATTTCCGGGTGGTGCAATCATCACATTGACATCCCAATTACAAGTTATAAATAAACAAGGTCCCAAAAAAGGGGAAATCTTAGTGAGGTAGTGCAATCATAACTAATAAATAAAATTAGATTGCAGAATTTTTGTATCACCGCTCTCGGTACCAGTTTTACTGGATGCAGTACAATTTTACTTTGTATACGCATAAATTCTTAATTTCATTGAATAAATTGAGAACTGAAAGCATTTTTACTGTGTAGTGAACGAGAAGTGGGTTAAATGAACTGAGATAGGTATGTGAAATATAATGGCTAAATAATTGTGAACTTCTTATTTGTTTGAAAAACATACGAATCTATAATTTCAATTTAACGTATTAATTTGGAGATTCTATTCAGACAAAATCATCAGATCTTTTGAGCGGGCAGGTGTTCTATTTATACGATTAATGCTTCCAGTCAAAAATGGTACCGAAAGCGGTGATGCAAAAATTCTGCAATCTAATTTTATTTATTAGTTATGATTGTACTACCTCACTAAGATTTCCCCTTTTTTGGGACCTTGTTTATTATTCCTAAATTATTCATTGCGTACCCAGATAAAGGTTATAAGTTATGTTTTGACGACTTCCATGAGCTATCGGCGGTAAAAAACGTCATATTTTATTTTCCGGTGTTTGAGCTCAAAAACCTGTTCACGGGGATTGAACTATTCGATTTGGTCAGTTTTTGAAATTTCCATGATCACCTACACTCTAAGAAATTTTACCACCGGACTATCACCGAGCGGTGACTATATGTGACTCTACCGAAATGGTGGTCACCAACCACCGCGCGGTGATAGAGAGTGCCATCACCATCGTGGTGGTACACGTCTACCGGGTGGTGGTAGAAGGATGTACATTTTTTATCACCGCGCGGTGATATGCCACCACCATAATTAGCTCGGATTTTCACTGTCTGATGATGGATAAAAGTAATTTCGGTACTTCATACAAAAATGTCACATTTTTCACAATTTATTGCTTTATTCAAATAATTTCACAGATAATGAATATTTTATATGTATTTATATATGTAAAACCTGTCCCTCTCCATTGTGGAATTGCACCAGCAATTGAAGTTGTGAATAGTTTCCAGTCACGACATAGAACACTGACTGAAAGTAATTAAAGTTTAAAATAGTTAACCTTCATTTAGATTGGTCAAAATATCAGGGTTGATTGATTTATCCTTACCGTTAAAACAACTTTGCCACAAATTTACTTATTTGCAGAGATTCCCTTGTACTATCGAGATTTTTTTAATTGCAACCAGTGACCACATTCGTGAGTTGTAGACTCCAGATTGATTACAGTTGGCCGACCAATTAGAAAAAAATATATTAATTAATTATGTACAGATTCAACAATTAAGCTACTCAATTTCATGCAAATATTACCTGGTCAAAATCCTTCAATTTCTGCACATTCTGGTCCTCCAGATCCACATACAAAAGTTAAATTTCTCTCCAACTAGAAATGAAACAAAGTTAACTTGACCAAAATTAGCTAACTTTTAACTTTTAATTTCTTTTACCTGTATCAATAAATTCACGATAACTATTTGGGCACGGTATTATTTTTTTCTTCTTAAACTTTGAAATACGAAGTAAATTTACCATTGCAACTCCGCTGCTGTTTCTTGTACGTGGAGTACGACAAACTTGCCACTCTGCAAGTCACGTGTAGAGCGAAGCTATCACCATGGTGCGGTGGTAGTGGTGATCACCAGCAATGGTGACAAATTTCGGTGATAGGTTTATCACCATTACGGTGATGCTTGCTGTTTCCAGTCGCGCGGTGATAGCGCCTATCACCCAATTTCTTAGAGTGTACATACGTGTAATGGCATGGGCGAAAGCACTACCTTTTTTAACAAAACATGTCAACTTTCTCCTTTCGTTGTGAAGCAACTAAAAGGCCCACGGGGGCAAACTTGTCATGGACAATCCCCCGGGCATTCTTTAGGGTCGTTCGGAAGCGCTAGGCCCTATTCAAACTCCATGACCTGAAAATGACATGAGGTCAACTGACAAGGTTTACTCATTCATCACTAATCTGAAATAGCTCCCATTTCTCCAATTTTGGATAGATTTTCTTCATATTTCGTACAAATTGATCTAAATGGCTTATATTTTCATATTCGTCATAAATTTTCATATTTTTCCAAAGTCAACAAATTTTGTGCAGTAAGGCAAAAGGTCAATAGGCCAAGTCTCACATAACCCCATAAGTGGTTATCGTTGGAAAGATCTTGCCGGGAGGATTCAGAATATATACTTTATGGGGTCTGGGACCACCCCCTGATTATTTAGAGGCCGAGGAGAATTATTTATTTTAGGTTTTCCAAGTATTCAAACGTTAACATAGGAGCAGATTGAGGGCTAACACAGCAGAAGTCCGACGAAAACTCAATAATTCTCCTCTCCCGCTTTTACATTAGCTTATGGGATTTCTTACATATATTCAGAGAGTAGGAATGTTAATTTTACGAAGTGGCCGTTGGCGGATTTTATTATCACCAAAGTGAAGCATTACATAAACAAGAATCATGTACCTATTGAAAGTAAATTCAACATCATACCGGATCTGATAAAATGTTTATCGAAAATTTGCATTTTTTAGTATGCACAATGCTTATCGGTATTTTTATTCCGTACAAATTTACATAATTGTGACTCATGCCTTAGTATCACATCCTGCCAAACCGCACTTCTCCCTAACGTTGGTTCATTCGCACCCGCACCTTATCACACTCATCGTCAAGCTATGGCGAGCTCAACAACGTTATAATTCTTATAAATAATTTTTCTCTACCGTTATATTTCGTCAGATTTTATGATTTGTCATCATCTGCATACATACATAAATATCGTATCTATCTTTCTGCGTGTTAAGGTAAGTCTTAGAAAATCTAGAAAATTTCAGGAGTTCAAAGGTGTACGAATTATTACAAATATTTATCAGTTATTACAAATAAGTATCTGAATATATGTAGGCGTCATGCATAGACGTCAAACAAATTTACATAGACACATATCGAGAATAATCCTTTGTATACTCTTAAAAATAGTCTTACTCGTTTGAACAGTAAATGTATTCCTAATTCTACATATCCAAAGCAATTATGCCAAATCCTGAATACCAATGACATTAGCATTGGTAATGTTAACTTGATAAAGACCACGTTTTATCCAGATTCACTATAGTTTCCTTAATATAGAATTTATTTATTTACTGTTTAAAATGATTACATTATTTTAAACAATGTAACAATAACCAATATCATAAAAAATACTGGGGGTGGAATTATAAATGCCGAAAAGTTAAAAGCGACAACTTTTCGAAAAATTTGATTGCATACGAAAGTTTAGCTCCTCGTCATGATTTTTGCCAAATATTTTGAAAATCCGTTTAGGACTTCAAAAGTTATAGCGGTTTCAAAAATAAAAACATTTAAATTTGACGACTTTGGCGCCACGGCACGACGCCAAATATGGGTTTTACACGAAATAAGAATGAATCCTTCATCTGGGGTCCTAGTAGATTCTAAAAAACATAGTGGGTACCCTGGACTAAAACGACAAGTCGTGAGTGTCCCTTGTAAGTCCCATTCGGAAAGTGCGAAGGATTGCAATTCTAACATGTTATGATTTTATGACGGATTATATTTTTAACCTGCTAGTCTCGCACCCTCAAAATGAAGTTACTCATTAGATCTAGAAGTATATATAAAGGTACATTTATAGATATGTAGGAGTTATTTGTAACTACCATTTGTACTACTCTGCACTTTCGTAATTAAACAATAGGGTAACTATGAAATTTTCAAGTCATCAAGTATATTTGAAAACAAACTTAATGAACCTTTGTAAATATGTATGTATGTACGTGTACAGCCCAATTCACTTATGTAATTTTAGTACAAAAATTACAAATTACAAATTACAAAATTACATCCAAAATTACTGATTATTAGTGATTTTATTGCTACTGATAATGCGATGATGCCAGCAGTCTCGCTCTGATTTTGATCAAATCACGATAATTATGTAGAATAATTATGTATGTATGTAAATAAGTCTTTATGCTTGATATTTGAAAATAAAACTTAAGGTAAATTTTGACCCTGGTAATTGTTTATTCAAACTTTTAGTTATCGAGGATTAATTGGGATTCAAATTTTAGATTCATTTTGACTTTATGAAACAATTTCTAAAACTTTTGGCAAGCGCACCTTCCTCCACAACAATTGTGGTTGCAGCATCCCCAAACACCTCCAGAAGTCACTTCTTCAGCTCCTTTGCAGTGCTTGCAATAAAACCGGCATTTGCTGCATCCGTCGGGCCGAGCATTTACGTCAGGTTTTTCATCTTCTTCCTCCTCTGAGGGTGCAGGGGTCGTGGTGGTTGTTTTGCGAGTCCTAGGCTGTGTGCGAATATAACATTTTAAATTTTTAGTATTAAAATGCATTCAAGAATTTGGCAGTGCAGAAAATAAGTTCCGTAAAAAAATTAACACTCTTAAAAACAATGTAACCATTCTAGAACATAAACCCATTCTCAATTCTGCATTAGCTAAACTACATACATACACTCTTAAAAACCCGGTGTTAATTGTCACCAAGCATTTATGACATGACCAAATGGGGATAATGTTTTTCACCGCTTGGTGATAAATCTTGCCCGCATGGGGACAAATTGTCACTTGCTGGTGGTAAATTTACCACCATTCGGTGAGACGCATTATTCCCTCACGGTGAAGTCACATATGCACACGGATTGGTGACAATTAATACCGGGTTTTTTAGGGTGTACAACACCAATTTTTGATAATGTGAATTTACTTTTTAAATGGATAGCATAATTTTTAAGAGTGTTGATAAATCAAGTAGAAAAGAGACCGCTTTACAGAGAGCTAAACCTGCAAAATTTCAACTTACCCTCGGGGTAGCTCCTGGTCTAACGTATTCCACGTACTCTTTTTTTTTCCCATTTACTGATGGGGGTTGAATTTCGCTATCTTTTGATGGACTATCCTGTCCACGAAAAGGGCGAGCATTTTCCTCCGACTCTTCTTCGTCAACAACTTCGTCCTCCGGTTTTGCAGTCGTTGTTACCTGTGTTTTTAAAATTTTCACCCTCATAAAATTACACCATGGAAACTTTCACCATCAAAATATAGCTTTTAGATACTTTTTAAATAAATGTATCTGTCGATGTGTAACGATCTCGGCAAGTGGCCAAATATTGAATTGTATTTTAGATGAAGAATGGGAGTACGCACGACAAGGTTGTTAAAACTGGAAAATTAATTATATCCAAATATTTGCAATTTTTTTTTGCAATTTGACTTTCTGGAAAACAATGTTTGTTTTGCTCCAAATGTTCGTAGTAGACATGCGAAAAATTTTTTCCGAAATCACCTTGATAATAATTTTGTGGCCTGAGAGTGAAATTTCTTTACCTTGGTTGGTCGCCTAAGTTCCGTATATTTGGGTCTGTTGGACACCCGTTTGCCATCCCCATCTTCACAATTAGAAAATGAAATAACACTTATTAACAGTAATGATATCAGAATTAAAAAATGGTTCCGTCCAGGATCCATGACAATTTTATTCAGTTTAATTTGTGTGTAAATTTAAGTGTAATAAAATATTATTCGTTGTGTCTGTGAAGGATGATTGACTCGAATTAAATAAGTATTTCGTAACGTGCTCTGTTATAAGTAAGTAAATAGGATAGAAATCTGATAAATGTTTGTACGCACATGCAATTCACTCTCGATTGTTTACATATTTACATTAACATGTTTCCTGCCCAGTGTTCCGGCTGGTTTTTAATAAAAGTAGTTATTTATTCAGAGATTGTCCTGTCTAAAATTTATCAAATCACAGGATAAATACATTTATATGTATTTATCTAAAATAAACAAGTTTTTGTCTAAAATTTCTTTTGTCTAAAATTTATCCGATATAATTATGATAAGTATACTGCGTGTCTTAAAATATGTAGTGGAAAATATGTAAAAAAAATTTCCTTTGGAGAAAATAGAGAAAAAATGAAAAAAATCAGTTTAATTCACACACAAATTAAGTAAACACAACTTGCACACTTAATAAATTTAGGATGCCATTGTATCACATTGGTGTTACACTGTGGACAACACGAAGATCACATTTATTTAGTGAGTTGAAAGAATTTCTAAATTATCATGTGTGAATGTGAGGGAACCCTTCCTCTGTTTCTCATCATTTACATATTAAAACTAGTTTGTATTGATATTATTTAAATCAAATGAGGCTTAATGAGGTTATTTTATCTTTGGTGTGTTGTGAGTAAGATGGAAAGTTGTGTTTGTGTATAATCATGAACGGAATAGTGGACCCTTTACTTTACATAGCACTGAATATTAATGATCATTATATAATGGAAGCAGGCAAATAAGCATATGTATCTTACATACAATGAATTACTAAGCAAGTAATGACTTTTAAATTAACACACACATATCATACATCGGTACATATTTACATGTATATGTACATATGTAGGCATTCGAGCACTTTACATAGTTTCTGCTGCATAACTACTATTTTACGTAATGGTCACTTTACATGGTTATCAATTGTGTAAAACCCAACTTTGCATGATTACGCTTATGTTACATACGTAACAACCAAAACTTATAACACTGACAACTGTCAAGTAAGCCTGCAGAAATTAGAATCCACTATTCTCTATAGATTTCGAATTGGATGTTAAATATGCACGCAATTCGGGTAGTTTTTTCCACGTGCTATTTCCTCTCAATCTTAAGTGTGAAACAATTATGCAATACGTATTGATATGATAAGGCTTGTTATGCAAAAAAAACTTTTATGCAATAAAAATTATCAAACAGCTGAACATGTATTTATTAAGTCAAATCATAAGTTTGTACTTATTTGTTGAGGAATGCGTAACCTGTGCTCGATGAGCTGTGGCTCACCGAGCACAGAATTAATGGTTATAAAGTGACAATGGGACAAATTGACAATTGTATTTGCTTAAGAGCTGGCCGGGTATGGGGTGAAAACCTCAAAACATGCGTATCGGTATTTACATACCGATTTACCAAATCTCGCCCCACTCAACTCTCGTCCTCAAATATTAGTTGTCCATCTCCACTTAAAATCCTTACCGTCCAAAACCCAGATACCCATATTCAGCAAAAATTCTCGCCTACCAGTATCCATATCCGTGAAAATTTCTCGCCATACAATATCCTGCTACAGTCAGGTGCAAATCTTTACAGCCACCCTGATTATCGTCACCAATTCTGATTGCAGCATCAAAAAATTACAAAATTGGGACATTATGGGTGGATTACTATTCTTTATAACCAGCATAAGCCATGAAGTCGAAATACGCCAACCACTGGTTTTTTCTTACTAAATGTAAAAAATAGGGGGTGCAAAACTTTACAGCCACCTATTTTCTATTTCAGATTTATCCTTTGTTTTTTTTTCCAGGGAATGAGTTTTATGAGTTTGCATTTTTAACTAGTACAAAACGAGTTTCTAAGCCGATCGGCATGCATTTTGGGAGAAATAAATTTTTGCTCGCATTTATATCAACATTGGAAGGTAATTATGACCATCTCTATATGAATATAGCGGAATATCAAGTTTAAAGTCATCTCGCACTCTCTCACACCAGATTTAGCAAGAAATAGGTCAGAACTGCTAGTCTAGGCAAAATCATCTAAAATTTAGCGAACATTATAGTAAAGCATTGAGGGATGGATTAGTTCTAAGCATGAAGTGCATATATAAATATGAAAATTTACTGCAACAATCAACAACAATGTCTCACTATTACCAATTTCAACTTCCCCACAATAAGTGAATTGCAAGAGACGTTTTAGAATCCCATCGCTTGAATTCACGAAGGCAAGGGAACAAACCCTTATTAATCAACATAGACGAAAAAACGATCTGGAGTGGGCTAATATGGATAGGGTTTCGTCCATCCCGTCTTCTACAAAAATATGAAATAATTCTTAGTCGATGCCTTCGATGTTCTCTTTCTATTTTATCACTATTTTGGAGAGGCTTCACTGATTTCTCATATGCGAAAGCAGTGGTGGATTATGTAAGGATTTGAGTGTCACCGGCAATATATACTAAAGGGAAGTTGAAGCTTTCTCAGGGTACAATGGACCCAGAAGGTGGTCACGAAGTTTGCCCAGATCAAAGTGTGATGAACCAAGCCCGAATAGGCGAGGAAGCTCTTTTTGCATCAACATCGCGCAATATAATTTTCCAAACAAAGACGAAAAATTATTTCGACGACAATAAAACCAATGTACCGAAATGTAACAGAGCGTCGGTGGACCTTAATGCAATCCAAAATTATTGTGGGGTACTGTTTAGAAAATCTAAACAAAAGTTAAGCCCATGCGAAGCTGACAACCACTTGACACATGAGATATTGTGCGGTCGGGCTAAAGTGTGGAAAGTATCCCTTCGAAAGCTTTTTGACTTCATGCTAAACATAATTAATCATTTTACTTCGAAGAACTGAAGTGCAATGAAGTACTAGATAAGAAATCTACGCGTTGCAATCAGTCGGAAACTGCACAAATGTATTTAATAGCCAAATATTCCAGGTGGCTGTAAAGTTTTGCACCCCCTATTTTTTTAATTAAGTAAGAAAAAACCAGTGTTCGGCGTATTTCAACTTCATGGCTTATGCTGGTTACAAAGGATGGTAATCCACGCACAATAGCCGAATTTTGCAATTTTTTGATGATTCGACCAGACTTGGTGACGAAAATCAGGGTGGCTGTAAAGATTTGCACCTGACTGTATCCACTCCACATCTATAAAAAATATCGTCCTCCAAGGATACTTCCAGACCTATTTTATGTTAATCTAGTTATTCTGAAAATTGATTCGCACCTACAAATTCACTTACATATTTACATATCACAAATCCAATTGAACAACTTTACAAGAAAATCACATCATTTAACAATGCGTCAATTAGTTCGATTAAACACATTTACATGCTTCTGATATTTTTTTCAGAGTTGAAGAAACCAAATTTTGCCAGTAAACATTTAAGTTAATTGTGCTCATTCTGCTAATTAAGTCATACGAGATTTGATAAAGACACTGGATGACCACTTTAGTCCGGTCGTCCAATGACTTAATCCGAAACCACCATTTAATCCAGACATATTCCACCCCAAATCCTATTATGGATACCGCCGTAAAAATTAAGTAGAGTTGAAATGCTACACTAACGTTTTCCATGCCGCCCGTATCTTCATCAATTTCTTCCTCATTCCTTAACACAATTTGCTTGTCTTTAAACTCCCAAAGGTTTTTGTAAAGGACGAATACCCCGTTTGCATTCAGCCCTTGGACAACACCGTATAGCGTGGTTATGCCAAAGTATCTCATTTCCCATATAACATTCCTTTCAGTTAACAGTTCTGCGACTGTGTTGCACGTAACTCCTCGGTAAGTCGACTTCAGGTGATGCAGTACTCTGAACAAATAGTCGGAATTGGGCTGAAATGCAAGTTTATCGGCAAAAATTGCAGCTCCATCCATATAACCGGGTAATGTATAGTTGTCAAGTAGTTCTGAAAGAAGTAGATCAGAAATGTTACAAGCACTGTGGGCTCAATTCGAAATGGTCGCTGGCGTCTGGGGTCGAATCGTCTAAAGCAGTATAAGGAACAACTCAGGGTTATTGAAGACCTAGGTTTAACTGGGTTTTGAGGTTGTTCGGGGTTATGGGGGTAAACTAAATAAGAGCCTCACGTATAAAGTTTCCTCTGCTTTTTAGTAACTCCGCACCAAAGCAGCGTATTAATCCAATTTAGATAACTAATTAATTTTAGGATTGTCAGTAAAGTCCTTTTATCATGCATACTTGATTTAATTTGAATACTCCGGGTACCCCAAATACACGCGGAGTAATACCCCCAAATCCCCCAAACCACGCAAACCCCAATTCTTTAATACTTCGTTCTTGAGTGATAAGTTATACTATATACATACCTACACATGTAAGTCAATACTATGTGCAAACACGTAATGCCCTTTATTACGGTACCGGTAATACATAAGTGCATAAATTATTTTAATCTCCGGTCTGTGAAGATTAAATACAATTGTTTAAGAGTGTACGCATGCAGTTACCTTCACTGTTTACGGCTTGGTCAACGTTGATCTCGTTTTTGAATGCGAGGAAAGACTTGGTCGTATTTAAATCTTCTTTTGGCTGTTTGGCCAGCTTAAATTTGAAATCCAGAAAGAGTTCCTTAAGGTTTTGTATTCGGTATGGTTCTAATGGACTAGTGATATGAGTTGTGATTATGGCATCGTAGTAGCAGCTGACGATTGTAGCCATCAAAATTAAAATTATTCCACAAACTGTTAAGCTGCAAATAATAATAATAATACTCCTTTACAAAAATTTACTTTCATTCAGGGCATTCATTATTTTCTCGTGTCCTTAGTAGTCTTCGTATCGTTAAATAAGTTACAACGTCAACGATATTTTGTAAGATTTTGCGATCGAAAATTACGTTACTATGCTTACAAATTTACGAAACCTGATCCCTTGTTTTATCCTCGTAATCTATCTTACGATACTAAGGATACGAAGAAAATCGTGAATACCCGGAATATCTTCATACGGAAACCATGAAATTAATGAGTACATTACCGTTCCGACGAAACCGGCTGTTTCAAGAAAGCCACAATTGCGTATTGATAACCCCCCAAAGATGTAATCCCCAAGAGGAAGGAAACCACCAAAAAACA